CTGCGTTACATTTCAAATTTGATGTTTTTTTGTTGTTGAAATAACTATGTTTCTTCTTAGTGTTTCCTTATCAGTTTTGTATATTAGGGTTGTATGTTACATGTTGTTAAATTAATGTTTATCGCATTATTTCAGTTTCATGTGTGTTACCATGATGGTGTTTGGAGTTTGTGTGAATGACACTGTGCACCTTCTATATATGTTATTATTTAAAAGCTGTTTGTGATGGCTTTGGTTCATCATGTGACTTTCTCATCACCACCTGCATTTGGTGATTATCAGTGTATTACAAAGGTACAAAACAGATTTCAGTACTTCAATAGGTTGGTATATTAACATTATTTCAGTTAATGAAATTACGGTATTTAACTGTAAATTTAAGTTAAAACCGTAAAACCTAAAATGTTGCTACCGTATTTTTTACTGTAAAATTCCGGCAACCACAGCTGCCGTTTTTTTACCGTAAATTTTTTTTACAGTGCAGCCTTGGTGAGCTTCTTTGCCAACATTAAAAAAATCTTACTGACTCCAAACTACACATTACAATAGAAAGATATGTTTGTTTGCTGACAGCTCGTACAGATCAAGCCTGAATACTTCACCTCTCTTCATGTTCTGAGAAGAGTTGAAATCAAGTGTGAAATTAATCATTCGATTTTGCAACTTGTTTAACCTTTTGGCATGAAGAAACAACAAGGGACTATTTTGTCCAACAATAACTCAATAAATTCTCAAACAATATACATTTCTAGAGAAATCTGGTTGTACTGAGGAGTATCCGAAGGGTGTGTGGGTCTGTGAGAAAGGATGCTGTTGAATCGTCAGTGGATAAACTGATCATTTAATGAGAATATAACCTGTTGTTTGCTAAATGTTTATGAGAATGTCATTTATTGACCACACAAGCAAAGTGAAACTTAAAATATCTCAATTTCATTGAATTACAAAAAATACCAACTAACCTGCAAACAAATGCTGCTAGAGCTTTTCTCAGAAATATAAAATTTTTTAAATTGACTTTATATCTACTGTACATGTATGTACTATTAGAAGGATATAGATTTTTTCCACCTCCTTAAGCACAAAAATGTAGATAGTATATATACATAGAGAGAGAGAGAGAGAGAGAGAGAGAGAGATCACTTATATACATATCAGTGACTCTTTATTTATTTATTTTTGTGTACTTACTCTGTACATAAATACTTGAATCTGTAATTAGAGATTAGCTGATATGGTCTGCATAATTTCTCCTGACCATGCCCTAAATCAGATTTTATTTGTTTTTAAAACTAATCTAAAAACCAGGGTGTGGAAGAGAAAGTGAATGTTGAGTGTTAAATCATAGTTAAGGGTTGATTTTCCTTGTTTCAGCTTCTCCGCTCACAGGCTCAAACAGGTTTCCAAGTCATCACTGGGATTTTCCATCTCCCTCTGTTTCCTCACTACACCATATATCTCTTTAAACACACACTGTTTATGTCTATATATGTCTTGATTCTCAGGGTCAGTCTCCTTGATGAAAAACACTAATGAAAAACAAAGTGATGTGACATGTGGCCAAGTATGGTGACCCATACTTGGAATTAGTGCTCTGCATTTACCCATCCAAAGTGCACACACACAGCAGTGAACACACACAAACCGTGAACACACACCCGGAGCAGTGGGCAGCCATTCATGCTGCGGCGCCCGGGGAGCAGTTGGGGATTCGGTGCCTTGATCAAGGGTACCTCAGTCGGGGTATTGAAGGTGGGAGAGAGCGCTGTACATTCACTCCCCCCACCTACAATCCCTGCCGGTACGAGACTCGAACCCACAGCCTTTGGGTTATGAGTCCGACTCTCTAACCATTAGGCCACGACTTCCCCCAAACTGACAGTTCTTCCCCATTTAGTGGGACCTTTGACCTTTCACATGGCTAAGATCAGTATATAAAGCAGCTGTGATGTTTCATAAATAGGAGATGTTTACTAATAGTACCAGAGTGTCTAAGCTGCATTTTTCACTGGAAATACCAGTGATCTTGAAGTGCCGACAATGAAACTGTAGCCTGTCAGTGTTACGGATCTCATCTCTGGGTAGAGGACACTGATTATGTGCCTCTGTGTACAAATGTTTTCCAGACTGCAGACAGCAGTGTAACAGGTGTATGTATGTGTGTTTGCAGGTGCGATTGCTGCAGCAGTGTTCATAGGCTTTCTGTTAGCCCTCTATGCTGCTCTTTGGAAATGTATGGTTACGCAACCGAAAAGGTATGAACTAAACCAAACTTTGACAAGGTGCGAGTGCAATGCTGCGTTTTGTTTTGTTGCATTTTGTTCTTTGTTTTACTTTGCACTTTTTATTTTATTTTGACAATTTTGTTATTTATTTACTTTTTTGGGTGTGCGTTTTGTTTTTTGTTTTGCTATTTGTTTTGTTGTGTTTTGTGTTGTTTTAATTTGTTTTGTCCTTCTTTGTGCTTTTTATTTTGGTTTTATTTTATTTAATTTTATTTATTTATTTTTGTTATGCTATTCGGTCCACAAGTATGAGACCACATTTAAAACAAATAAACGTTATAACATCAATAATTATGACATACATATTCATTCAAAAAGGGAGACAAACCTAATTAAAAAATATTCAGAAAATTGTGATTTTCAACATTTTCAAGTTGTTAATACTGATAATATTGAAAAAATGTACATGTATATTCATTTTCTTTGGAAATGCATGGTTACACAATCACAAATGTTTGAACCAAACAAACCTTGTGCATGTGCAATGCTGTTTTGTTTTGCTTTGCTTTTTTTGTTTTTTTTGTGCCTTTTTTGCTTTTGTTTTGCATGTTATGGGGTTCAAAAGTATCAGACCACAGATTTAAAACAAATAAAGAATATGCCATTCTTTCAAAAACTGTGAAATGGGCGACAAGTCCAATTCTACGATATTCAGAAATTCATAATTTTTCAATTGCCACTATCTCTGTTAGGAGGGAAAAAAGAGCAAGACTGAAGGCTCGTGAACACAGGTCTCTTACATGCTGACCTCTGAACGGGACGTCCGCCTGTCTACCAGAGATTCTGAGTTACTGATGTTAAGTCGGAGCTTCTCCTGGTGTGAAGCACCCTCATGAAACGTGTTTAGGTATTAACGCACAGTTTGAGACAATATTTCATGCAGGAGGGAACTAGATGCTTCAGATGCTTCAGTCACCTATCAGGTTCTGGATTGGTATGTTTGACAGAGCAGTGTATGTTATTCAGTTAGACCAGAGAGTTACATTTTAGAAAATGGTTTTAAAAATGTAAATGTAGTCATTAAACTAAGTGATTTTGTGTATATTGTGTGTATACATAGGGAATAGCAAGCCCAAATGTGCTCTTGAAGTGTGTACGAATGTTTTACTTTGTCACAACAAAACAAATGTCCACTAGATGGCAGATGGCTCAATGTTTTTTTTTTTACTTTTTACTTGATGAAACAAGAATCAGCCAAGATATACAGTCTTTCAGTCTTTAGAGGTTTATCTTTATAGACTTATGTGTTTCGGACGTTTATTTTATTGCTGATAGCTATGCTAATTAATTCATGAATGATATAATCAATTTTAAGAGACTAGGCCCTTGTTTTTCTCCAAACATCCCCTTTGACCATCGTGAACTCTGCACCAGTGAATGAGTGCGTGTGTGAGAGAGAGAGATTTCCCTTATGCAGCAGTATTGGCCAGAGAGCAACATATTTCTGGGTTAAAGTCTTTGGGTACGTGCGTGTTTGTGTGTGTGTGTGTGTGTGTGAACGTAAGAATTGCACATTTTTATTGCAGGTGCTTTGTTTGCTCAATTGATAGTATTATATATTTTATTTCATTAGTGTAGTGTCATTCATTTCAGAGCTTTCCATTGTTAGGATTTGATTTTCCTTTTATTTTGGTCCATGCAGTGTAATTGTGTGGCTGTATAAACCCTGTTTTTCATTGCACAAATGTTTAATATAGAATGTTATGAATGATATGTGCCAATAAATGTGAACTTTGATTTACTGTAGGATGATTTTGTACAATAACGTTAAAAGCTGTTTAGTGACAGGCTTAAATATTTGAATACTTGCTAGATAATATTCATATGAGAAGGCAATATTACAGTTCAGTATAGTTTATTTTGACTGTTTATGTTTTTTACAGTGTTTTTACATTTTTAAATATTTATCCTGTAAAAATATCCTTTAAAAAAAGAAGTTAATTGATTGCATCTGAAATTATTATTAGCTTGCCTACATTCATACAGCCAATAAACTGCTGTAAAAGTGCTTTATTGTTCCTTTAACAGTAAATGGTAAACTTTGAATGCAAAGTTGAGATATTGAACTATTGAGATAATAATATTGAACATTTATACAGAATGTAGATATACACACAGTGCATTTAATATAATTACAGTAATGCTTATAATACAAGAGCAGATGCTCTTTATACTGGAGTGTTATTTGAGTTGCAGTGTCTACTTTCTGTCCTCAACAAGACAATTACTTGCATGCAAAAATGGCAATATGAAACATAACAACAAAATTAAATATAACTTTACAAATATTACACAATAAAAAGTACAATAATTCTAAACTATTGTACTAATTTTCTTTTTTCTAAAACAGTGGAATTGAGCTCCTCATTTGTATCCATTATCACTTTGTCTCGGGTGTGACCTGGGCAAGATAATCTCAGGTAAAAATGATGGTGAAGGACTCACGAGCTGCGTATCTCTCATGAACATCTTCAGAAGGAGATAGGCCGTTTTATAGCAGTAACGCAACTACTGCGTCCACATAAAGAGGCATAGAGCTGACATAGCAAGATGAGATTCTGCTTCAAATGTTCTGAGCATGCAATTGGTTGTTTTTTCCCTCAGGTCTCACATGCAGTAGTGTATGTTATGGCAGGTGATCCCTTCTTTTGGAGGATTCTCTTATACTATCAGTTCACTAATTTTAGAGGTAAATTAAATGGAAGAAAGAGGGAGAGCAGGTTGTAAGAGCTACAAAACATCAGTTTCAAATTCGCTGGGTTCTTGGGTGGTCTTGGAGACAATGCCAGCCTTTACTGGATATGATGGCTGTACAGAGATTTCGCCATTTTACTTTTCATGGCTTTCGAAGCTAATGTTGTCATATGTAGCTTTGCTGTTGAGTTCCATTTCTTTGGCTTTCTTCTCTTGAATCTGCAGCAGAACTGCGTTGTTCACACCAGGACCTGAGCAACACAGACAGATGGTTTTTATTAGTTTTGTTTAATCAAACCCTTTTATAATACACCAGATTTTATTTGGTTGGTTCAAGTGTTTGGAATGGAATATTAGTGCTTGCTACATAGTCTTTTATTGTTAACTAAAATTTAACTTAATCTTTTATTGCAATTGAATAAAATTAATACAAATAATTGAAATAAACCTGAAATAGAATAAAATATAAATATGAGATGAAAAACCTTGAACATACTAAAGTAAATGAAGTTGAAGTTAAGGTGCTAAAATTACAAAAACTATAAATAAATAAATAAAAATCAATAGAAAAATATAAAAAAATGATAAAAATGACAATCACACAAAATTACTGAATTATTTAAACTACATTTAAAATGGAAATATACAAATAAACACTAATTCAACATTTTAATAAATACTACCATAGTATATAAATAATACTAAAATAACTGATTATTTGGCAATACAATGTACTAATATTAAACAACTCTTATACTCTCTTACTGTATTTCTCAATAACACTTCAAATTGTGTAACTATTCAAATGGTAGAATGCTACATTGTTGCCTCATTATGTTGCATTTATTTCATCAAGTGGTATGTGGTAATGTCAACTAAAATAACATTTCCATCTGTTTCAGCATATTGGACTGTATAAACAAATTGCATCAGGTTTTTTTTTTCTTCCTTCATGATGGAACTCTTGTTCTGACATGTCTGATGCCTCCCTCTTCCTTATCTGTTCTTACTGAATGATTCCTATATATTTTTCATTGTCTGTGTTTTTAGATTTGAAATGCAATACACATTTTTGGTTATTAGTTTGTTTGTGTGTGTGTGGTTTTTGTGTAAAAACGTTTACATTTTGGCTGACTGACATTTTTGTATTTGCATTTTGGGATACGAATTTGCTTACTTGTTCAAAATGTACATGTTGCACACTGCAAAACCAGTGCAATTACAATACTTTGTTAGAATTTTAACTAGTCTCTTTGAACTTAAACTCTTTGGGATTGAGCACCATGTGCATAATGACTGCATGTCTTTATAATCATGCAACATACCTAAGAAACTGAGCAGCACGGGCAGAAATATGAGGCCGTGGGCCATGCCGAGCAGAGTGATGACCAGATTGAGTCTGAAGAAGAAGATCTGGATGAGCTGTGCCTTAGCAAATGCCAACACCACTATTCCAGGTAGATTGGTCATCGCAACTCCAGCAAACACCTGGGAAAGAGAACACACACGCGCATGAAACAACACAACAACTGGACATACAAACTAATGCATAACTGAGGAAGCTTCAACATGTTTGTTGTGGTACTCACCGCACTGCCCATGTTAGCTGTGGCTTCCTTTGCCCTCTCCACCTTCGTGGGCTGAATACTGAGCGCAAATGAGCGTGTTAAATGAGACACAAACTCTACTGATATACCAACGGCCTGAAAAACAAACCCACAGTGAGATGAGAATGTTATAGATTGTTCCTGACTACTTTTATGAACTGCAAACATGCAGACAACTCTGAACAACTCACCGTCACAAGGTTGATAAGCGACACAGCGTTGAAGTCGATGCCCCACAACGTCATGACACCAACCGTATCCACAGTGATCATCACTATGGTGAGCAGGTTCAGAAAGCCTGATCTCAAGTCCATGCCGAGCAGGATACAACACACAACGAATGTGGGGAGCAGACACACGCCGATGTTGAACAAACCCTCGTTCACGATGGTCAGATACTGTTCGTAATACACATACGTCACACTGCGAAATAAAAGATCATAGAATCAGCGCTCAGAGATTTTTGATCCTGGGTCCTCTTTCTAGTCTAACATATTAATTTATTGCGCATATATATATATATATACATATACCTATAATGTATAATATGATATACTTCAAAAGGATTCACTTGAGTTTGAACTCAACATAATGTTTTTGGACACCCACTTCCATATTATTTGCAATTAAATGAAAATGTATTATAGTTTAAATTCATATTAAACACAATTGGTTGAACTTAAGAGTGCTTTTTGACATAGGTAGAACTTAAGTGCATCTTTTAATGGAAAATCATAATTATTTCTATTTGAAATATGGTTAAACTGTACTGCCGAAAGGACTGACTATTTCTATTGAACTTGTATGTCATGTATTTACATATATTTGTAATTACACATTTGTAGTGATGAAGTTGCAATTTAGTACATTTGAAATATATTATCTTTAAATGTGACGTTGAATAACACACTATAGTTAAAATGAAGTAATAAATCAAGTACTTTACAAGTGCTTTAGCATGTAAGTGAACACAAATAGATGATCAAAAACGGATGATTTAAAATGCATTTTAACAGTAAAACTTTTAATCTGACAATTTTGCAAAGGGCACTTTTTAAAGGTGTAGTTAAGAGACCTCTCAAAGTACACTTAAGTGGCCTTTTATTGAATATATTTTCTGCAAGCAGAGTTTATTAAAAATATACTTTTTAGATTTTAAGTACACTACAAACTGCACATGCATTTAAATTAAGCGCACTCCTTTTTCACTGGTGCCACCTTTAAAATATGTGCGTGACATCCCTGCTATACAAAATGTATTCCATCCTGTAGTTGAAAGAAAAATATGAAGTAGCTCTAGGATCCGTGATGCTGTTTTGCAATTTATTAAGTAGCTCAAGGACGCGTTATCATTAAAATATGATTACATTAACTGATTATTGCTTCTTATCTTATCCGGAAGAAGAAGCAGCAAGGGTGAGGATGGTAAATGTAGTAAGATAAGGGAGGATTAGAAGTGGACACCTACGTGTAAGGGAAGACCTCAAAGTCTTGAGAGGTGCCTGTGACGTTCCTCATGGTCATTGTGATATGATGTGCCAGTTCTCTGGCTTTCTCCAGCGCTGCCGTGAACTCCTGCGAGTTGACCAGAGGAGTGTGGTAGGCCATGAACCGAGACGCTGAAAAACGAAGAGATGCCATAATGAATCAAACACTTACATGTGTTTTATATGAGCTGTTTGTAGGCCTCAAACCCTGGAAGACAGTTAGCATTTTAGCGAGTAGCGGGCTTCAGTTTATGAGTAAACTAGGGTCTGTGGCTTTGTCACGTTTTATTCTTTAACATAAATTACAGTCATACCTCAAACATTGTGAACAAGTCACTAAATAAGGACTACAACTACCACAAAGACGTGAGTTTACTTGCTTGACAACAACTGTTCTAGTCATTGTAGCTTAGCAACTTTTTAGCAACATAGCTTATTTCTAGTTTCAAGAGTTGTGTTGTGATATGACAATGTTTAACTGATGTTATAGAGCAAAACATTAAAGTTTCATTCAGTAATAT